AAATAATGTTATTTGTAATAATAAGACTACTGTTGTATTGAAAAACAATCCTTGTAGAAAAATATTCCAGTTAATAAAAATCATCTTTCGATATTTATGGAGATATTATTTCTACGAAAGATTTAAAACACAAAAACAATATGACAACATACCTTACTGATTACATTACACTTGCTACAAAGATGACGATGGGGTTACCAATAACTTTAAGCATATACTCTGCTGTACATAACGCAAAATACCCATACGGTAAAACGTTTGACAGAGTGACTGTACACGAGTTGCCATCCGGAAACATTTCTGAACTTCACGATATTAAAGAAATACATTCTCCAGTAAAAAAAGACGTACTTAATTGTCCAGAAGTTTACGGTCGTCTTGTTCGTTATCAGTTTGGTGACGAAATATATTGGCGTTGTCGTTCCAGTTATCCAGATCTAGTAGATGATACTGGTAATGTCATATGTTGTAAAAACGGCACGTTACAGGACTACTAATAACGACATACCTTTCGAATTGGCTGATCATGTTTTCAAACACATGGTTCAAAAAAGACGTCCGTGTGGTGTGAAAGATTTGCATGGATGGGAACTAATCATCGATCACTTCGAAGATGTGATGGCTATCGTTATTAGCAACGATACATGTGTCGATACAATCAAAGAAATTCTACATAACAAGGAATGTAAGCAGATATACTTTGATTGTACATCGAAAATTTGGTTGGGATATCTTTGTGATCACGTCGAATATATACGCCTCAGCTATAAAATTAAGTCTACTAATAAGTCCATAACGACCATGGCTCAAAAGCTTCCGAATCTGAAAACGTTAGACATACGCGATGCACGTAACCTAAATTATAAAGCAATGATAACTATCGCCAAAAATTTTCCTAAACTGGAACATCTTTATTTAAAAAATTGTTCTCTCATTGATGATTTCGCAATCGAAATGTTAATGGGAGCACAATCCCCTTTAAAGACAGTGTGTTTAGAACGTTGCACAAATGTTAGTAAACAAACATTTACGAGGATTGTGTTAAACTTTAATTTATTGTGCGCTTATTATATTAATCACGTAAAAAAATATTTCAGAAAGAAAACAGTAACCCCGCCCTCATGAACACGTGATATATATTTTTTTGTTTGGTAGGGATCACATGAATGACACTTGTATAGGTGGGCGTTAAAGTTTTGGACAGAAGAATGGATGTAATATGCTATATAAGTACATCTTTCCACCACTACCACCACCATCACCACCAACACGCACCAAACGAATAAGAAGTCTCCTCGATACTTTATTAATGTTTTAAACCAGAGTCGCCTCTAGAACTCATGCAACCACCACCACCACCTCCACCGCCATTGATAAGGCCTGTTCCTTCACCATCACCAATGCCGAGGCCACCACCACCACCAACTCCACCACCATCGCCTCCACCTCCGCCACCGCCACCACCGCCAAGACCAACATCGTCGTCATCACAAGAACCGTTGACGAGAAACCTGTGCACAGGTATGACTGGTGTGGAACTGCCACCTGGCTGCTACATCAGAGAATCTTGTGTCATCCCCATCGAAATCGCCCACCAAGTGTTTCGTCATATGGAACAGACCAATATAGTGTGTCCTCTTCACGATATGATTTCGTGGGAAGATATCGAATCATTTTTTGATGGTGATCACACATCACCTGTTGCAGTACTTTGCGAATGTTCACCAACTGCTGGACTTGTGAGAGGATTGTACGAAGACAATTTTACGCACATTATAGCTTACTCGTTAGAATGGATATATTTGCTGCCGTCGCATGTCAAAGTTCTTCGCATTAATTCCTTTGATATTACAGATGGTATTTTTGATTTGATATCAAACAGAGTTCCAAATTTAAAAGCTCTTCACGTGAATAACGCAAGATACATAACTAACAACGGATTGGCAACTATCGTCCGAAATATGCGTAGTTTGGAGCATTTGTCAATGTATAATTGCAGACGCATTGACCCTAGTGGTCTCTTAATCATTTCAAACGCAGGATTAGACATTAAAACTTTGTGTCTTGTTGGTTGTCAGCGCATAAACAAAGAGTTTTTTGATTTCTTTATTGAAAAAACTCCTTCGATCATGTGTGCATATTGCAGCATATTTTAAACCTGTGAAATAAAGACTTTACGTGTCAATAAAAAAAAGTTGTGTTGCTATCAAGATAAAAAATTCCCAAATTGTGGTAATAAAATGTTTCTTTATTTTCCGAAACGAGTGTGATTGAATTATTCAGATTGCCAAAAAACACAATAGATATTGGGAAGATGTTTTACAACCCAGCGAAAGGTACTGCTATCAACATATTTCGTCCCAACCATGCACAACGATTTCAAGTCCTGCATATGCAATCGCAGAAATCCCTCGTTGTTCAGACTTCCGTACTTGAAGATGTTGAGATGCTTCAGTTGTGGACTAAAGTCGTTGACAAACTCCAGGGACTTGTAATCCAGTTGACTTGCATCGGCCAGTTGTAGTGTATGCAGTTTGGGGGATTTTTTTAGAAGAGTACATAGTTGGTAGCTCGTAATTGTATTCAAAACTTCGATGTGACGAAAGTGTGGTGCGATGAGCTCGTGATGCACGCTAGAATTCCAGTAGAGATGTTCACATCTGGTATCGTTCAGAATATCCTTTGCCCTCTTCCGTCCCATCCCATCGGAAATCAGGGTACTTGTTAGATCGTTGTTTTCTTCAAATTGATGAAGAATTGACTGCCACGAATCGTAATCGTTTTCTTCGAGGTCGCAAAATTGTGCATATACATCGCTCCAATTATTGTTTTCGTTTGAACTATAAAAGTAAGACTTCTGCTTGACGATAGAGTCTTTACATTGAATGGAGATTTTTTGCACCACACCGTTGCAAAACAATTGATTCATGATTCTACAGATTCGTGGTAAGTAAGCCTATATATACATTTCTCGTAGGCAGTTATTTATATGTATTTTGTTTCGAACACCGTATGGGAAAGGAGGGTAGAGTGATGTATTGTTAAACATAAATCTCTATAGATAGAAAAAATTAAAATATTTTGTATCGATGGTTTACAATATTTATTTAGGGCTTTTCTTTCCATGGAACAAATCTATACGACATGGTGGAAGTAACACAAGCACATTTAAGATTGGGCAAATGATTAACAACCCAATCAAATGTTTCTTGGTCCAGTTTTTTGGTTCCCATTATACAAAGTGTTTTCAGTTTGGGTAGATTCAATCTCAGGAAGCCTTCGTTATCCAAGTCAGGGTAGTGGAATATTGTCAAATGTTCCAGGTCTTGAGCCTTGTCAGTTAAAATTCCAAGAGCCTTCTTATCCAGTTGGGATCCGTCAGCAATTTCTAATGCTTTTACTTGTGGAGTTCTATTCAGCATTGTCTCGAGATTATTATTCATAATTAAAGCCAAAATGTTGAGATATTTGTAATGTGGTCCTATTAGTTCATAATATTTAGTAGCCATCCAACATATATGCTCATAACTTGTGTTGTTCAACATAGTCTCCACATCTTCACCATTGTTCGAATTAAAAAGGACGGTCCCATGTTTATAGCTAGCCTGAAACTTGTCCAGCATCTCATACCAGCAATCTTCGTGTCCACGGTTTATGTTATCAAAAATTTCTTTCGCTTTTTCAAATGACACTGGGTTCGTATTACTTTCACGAAAATATATTCCATACATCTCCACGCCTTTTCGTTCCCTAAAACTTTGATTCAAATGTATACGACTGCGCGATCGCATAAACAGTCCTCCCAAGAGACGTTGCATGATATGGATAATATTTTGTGTGTGGTCAGTCCGCCCTATATATAGGAAAAAATACGCCAACGTTTACATCACGTGGTACAATTGCTTTCTCTATTTGTTGTAAACAAGTCTTGAAAGAGATGTACATAGCGTTTTTTTCTTATTCTTTATACTTAAAAGAAAGAAAAAATAAAGATATATTATACACTTGACAGGTATCCCCTCCTCCTTACATGTGGGGAGGAGTGTCTATCTTTGACGATCCCCAAGATACAAAGGATTTCTCTCTCCACTACGAAGAGACAGCCTGGAAAGGGGGGATTTTTTTTTGTGATTACGTCTATATAACTATGTGCAATAACTACATTTAACCTATCGACAATGCACATCTCAAACTTACCGCCAGAACTTCTGAGAGTTGTCTTCACGTACCTGGACAAGACTGACTTGGTTCGTGCTTGCTATGTATGTTGTAGTTGGAAAGACATACTGAACAATTTTCCAAATGTGTGGAGAAATTGTACTGCTACATTGCTCGACTTACGACCCAGTGCAGAAGCAGTTGCTGTGCTTAAAAGTCGTCAAATTCGTAAAATTCATTTAAATTCCTTGTCGTGGATTTCACAACTGTCCCATCACGTACAATATTTGCACATAGAGTATGCAGGATTAAAAAACGATGATGTCGTACGCGTAACCACTATACTGCCATGGTTGGAGACTTTAGTGATACGTTACTGTCCGTTAATCACCGATTACGCTTTCGTAATAATTGGTCGTGGATTCATTAAGTTGAAAAATTTGTTTGTCACCGAATGCCCACTCGTTAGCGACTACGGTGTTTATGCTTTAGTTCGTGGGAATGAGAATTTGACTACACTTAAAATAACGGGAAGTCAACCATTAACCATAAGTTCGATACAATCAATCGTAAACAGATCGCCACAATTAGAAACCCTCACTTTGTGCTTTGACGAGTCTCTCGTAATTACAGATGTCTTATTTGCTCTGTACGAATTACCGAAATTGAAAATGTTCACATTATATATTTACGTCCAAGATTACCCTGCTAATCCTCCAAGAGGAGTGGACGCTATGGAAGAAGATGTGATACCTTCGTGTGTTATAAGACTTGTGTATACGACGTTCAACCGTTTTAGGAGGGAATACGCCCACCACAACAGCCTCTAAAAAGCATCGGCGATGGACACCTTACCACTGGAGATCATCTTGCACATCTTCAAGTTCCTCACGAATCACGAAAAAGGGATCGCCGCAAGAGTGTGTTCTACATGGAAGGACATTATAGACGACAGAAGTTTGTGGAAGAAAAGCAAGATCGTTATCTTCAGGCCTATGGAAACGTGTCATCTCGAAGTCATGCAGAGACGTGACATACGAGCATTGAGTATCAGATGTAAAATGCAAACTTATAATTTCATGATGTTAATGAGAACTGTTTTGAATTTCGAATATTTGGATATTTCAGGAAACGTATGTTTATCCGACTATACTGTAAATTTGGGTTTATTATATGGCGCAAGAAAATACATGAATATGCGTTATTTGGATATAAGTTATTGTAGTCAAATCAGTGATTATACCTACGTATATTTGTTTAAAAGTATGCCCAATTTATTACAATTAAATGTATCTGGTTGTTCTAGAATAACTAACCAAGTATGTAGTGTTTTCCCAAAAAATTTAAAATGGTTGCAAATAAATTCGACGTACATTACAGATACATGCCTTATTGCTATAGGGAACTCTCTCCCTTCACTCGAAGAACTCTACGCTGGGAATATCGGTTCTATTACAGACGATGGTGTGATACATGTTGTTAAAAAATGTCAATTGTTGCGAAAATTGGATGTGAATTTGTGCGAAAATATAACCGATGCAATATTTCAGACTATAGCGCAATATGGCAGGAATTTAACTTTTTTAAATGTCTGTATGATTCCATTGATAGATACAAATAATGTTAAAGGTGGTTTTCGTAACAATAATTTTAAAAACGATGTCACTGTCGTGTATGGTTATGAAAATGTGGGAGGAACTCAAATATATGTTGTGAAAAAATAAAAACTTTTTATTTTCTTTCCTATAATCATGTACAATTGTTTTTTTCGTTAGCAAGAGCTGGAATAAATTGTGATTTTGATTGAAAAATAAAAAACTTTATTTTCCTTTCTTGCAAAGAAATGGAACTGAAAAATGTCTCATATCATTATTTTGACATACTTTGCTGTATATTGAATACCAATCCAAGTGCTCATAATCATGTGAATTTTCACAGGACAAAACAAAAGCAGTACACTTTGAAACGCAATACTTTATTACAGACTCTGTAAATTTAATGTTTCTGGTATTGATCAAGAGATCCTTACGTTCATCGCCTCCAATCGGGAGTACATTATCCACAATATTGCAAATACTGTACGGAGACATTTCATTACTATTCAAAGTTAGACTGTAAATTATATTTACAGTAACTCCAGGTAATGGTCCACGCATTGTTGTAAATATATCGAAGCCTATTTCTTTGCCATTTATGTGGTCGTCGTGCACTACAACGAGGTATACTTCGATTACATCTTCTATATTACCTATAAAAAGGTCACCATTCCTTATAACATTTGTGAACAAATCTCCATAAGAAATATCGCAGTGGTTTATATGCCGTTTTTTACACGATGGAGATACAAAAACGTTTTTTAATCGAGGAGCTTCCTCAATAATCATCGCAGCAACTGCATCGTACAATTTAGTAGTGTCCATTTCGCACGTATTATGAGTAACGATTAAATTATTTAAACGAGACCAACATTGTCTATCGTCTTCTAAACCTATCATTTCTTTAAGAAACACTTCATACCGTAAAATAATGGTATGTGTGTTTAACAAAAGACTTATGTGCTCGTTTTCGACGACACCTTCGTAAGTTCCACAACAAAGTCCGCGTGGAGATATTTTTAAAAATGTAATTTCGTAAATACTGCACAGTTTAGAGTAAAATCTTTCTAAAACATCCTCGCAATCTCGACCGTATACAACGTTTAAAGTTAGTTTATAAGTCTTTAACGTCTCAATATAATTATTGTTTACCTTATCTGTAAATGTTTTCAAATTATAAACGTCTAAAATTAACAAAGAAAATTCGCACCGCACATTTTTCATTACGTTCGTACAAAATCGTATACTATTTTCATTATTCATACAGTAACAACCTTCGAAACATACCACTTTACACATTTCTACACAAGTATGAGCCGCCAAGAGAGATAAACCGTCAATAACAGAAGGATGAGGTTGTTCTACGTGCAAAGCAACAACTCTATCCATGTTTACGTCCGTAACGAGTGACGTTTGATACAATCGACATAGAGGTGACGTTTCTCGCAACCATTTGTTGACACGGTTTAGAAATCGCTTTTTTCGAAGACAACAACGTGCAAGTTTACAACGAAATGGTATTTTCAAGTGACCCCCCATAATAGCTCTTTGGTATAAATAGGGGCTACAACCACGACGAATCCATCAGTCGCACTAGAGTTCCCCTCACGATGACTATTACTCGCTTGTGCAATCCTAAGTTGGTTTTTTCGAGAAACCCCAAAGTTTCTCGTAACATTTATTGCGACTCCTGCGAAAAAGACTGCATTCCAAAGGATTCGGAATATGATTGGTTCATGTTGGTCGACATTATTCAAGATCATTGCGAAGGGAAAAACGCCTCTAAATCGGCTACAAAATTACTCTGTGCACAGTTTATACGCTATTTTGCTAAGAAGGCTCAGAATGCGGATCCCTGGGACGATCAACCAATAAGTTTTCCCAAAGACATTGAATTGAAAGGTATATGGAGTTTGGTGAACGATTCACCAGTCCAACACCCCAAAGATCCCGAGGGTGAAATCCCAAAGGAACTCCACCCCTGTGGTTATTTCATGCATTATAAGCGACTTCAAGATTCTCAATATAACATTGGAAACAATGTACAAAGCCGTCACACTGCTAGGACCTTTCCGAAGAGTATATCTGCAAATACCATCGTCAGAAACGCGCACCGTCTATCCTACGAAGAACAGAAGAATAATTTTTTGCAAACTGTTAATGATGCAGATTTGGTTCTCAATTCAGTTAAAGGAAAGACAGGTGGTCAATTCGAGTTCAAAACAAAAGACGGTCTGTCTTACAACGGTGTGAGTTTTATAACGGAGAAACCAATAACTATTAATCCCGGTATCCATTACGAACAATGGATATGTAGCGGCGGTGAGGTTAAATGTAACCGCACTTTGGTTGCGGAAAGTCAATATTTCGTTGCTTTTAAGCAAGACATGAAACTGGGGGTATCTGTTTGGCCACTGGTCCATAGCGATATGGCTGTAATTTCTAGTGTAGGGGTGTTTGTGTCTATGATCTTTTATATTTTACGTAATATAACTATTTATGGTTCTCTCACCAAATTGGATGCTTTTTCGAAAAAAGTTAGCCAATTGATTTTCGGAAATAACGAAAGCCCACGCTATAAAAATACTTTCGTTTCTTTAAAAATGCCATTTGCGATGGACGGCATGAAATCTTTCACCAAGGAAGAGGCCGAAGACTATAAGCGAATGCTTACTTATCAAACTCCGGAAGAAAAAAATAAAGACGATAATACTTGCATTGCCATTCGTAGATTTCCGGCGTCTAATATCGTGGAACCAATTTATAAAGTAGTTGGAGGTAAAATATCGGTTTGTTACGACCCACTATGGACCATTAAGGATATAGGAACTTCCTTCAATAACGTGTATAAAGGATTTGTTCAAATGTCGATCGAACCAGTTGTCCACCTACAAAACATTACCTGTAGAATTCAGTTTGGTGGTGGTGTAATCAAGCCACTCAACACAAATTACGGAAGTCTTGGTGGTGAGATGCCACTGGACGATAGCAATGATGATTTAAAAGCCCTGGCTGCAGATTTGATTCAAGAAGAAGAACTTAAATCAAGATTGACGACTGGAGAAGACAGTGGTCTATCCGACGGCACCTTTGTTAACAAGTCTGAAAACGATATTTCCGAACAAGACGATGATGACGACGACGACGATGGACCACCACCAGCTAAGAAGACTAAATCTGAGGAGGAAGATGAAGAAGATGAAGATGCTGTTTGATTTAATATTTCATTCCACATGTCTTACAGTTAATAAAGACTGTTTTTATGCATTTTCCAATGTGTTGCTTCTACCTCATTTTATCGATTTATTTTATTTCTATAAATGTATAGAAAAAGTTAAAAAATGATTACAGGACTAACGTTCGTGTCGTTACCTACTTTAGGACTTCTATTTGTAAATGCCTCTTCTATAATGGATCAGACGTTCTTTTCGGATAATGTAATAATATATTACATTGCAACAATCTTCGTATTTGGAATAATAATAGCTTCGAGATTAATTTACACTAATTTAAAATATAATTGTGAGTTGCATTGTGACAACGATAAATCGCAAAATATAGAGGAAATTGTACCTTTTTGGCGACGCTTATTTTCTTTCCGCAAGAGCTGACTACTACGGAGAAAAACCACATCATCAGAAAAAACGAACTCTACAGTAAGTTTGATGCGAGCGAAATGGAAATCATAAATTTATTGTTCGTATTTTCTTTTCTACATAGTATATATGGACATTATGTAATGGACGAGAGAATAACTGTTACAGATTTTCGTAAACATAAACGTAAACAATGCATTGAAAATGGACAATATTTTTTACGGGTAGCTAATGAATACGTCATTCCTATACATTATTACATGCAAATATCAAACTTCAATTATTCTAATGCGCATAACGAAATCGTAATGATTATGGAACCAAGAAATGACAATTGGCACGTTTGCGGACGTACACATAATTCACTTCGTGTGCATTGTGACGAGGATGCAAAATGGTTTCGAGCTGACGAAGATGACGAAATATTACCACCATACGTTATAGAATTATGCGGTAAGTTACAACTTCAGGAGGGGGTTCAATATATTCGGACGAGATATCGATATGGTGCATGTAAAGGTGTTGAGGCATCGTCTGTGACTAGAGAGAGTACAGTGTCCGTGAAGTGTACAAATGGTAAAGAGTACAATTATAAATGTATACAAGATGGATATTATTCATTGCTGAATTCAAATGCGCCAATTGCACGTGTGCCTAATCTAAGAGTACAATGTGAGGGTGACGATTACGATAGTCATTTGGCATACGAGGGATCGAGGTGCATATATATTGGAATAGGAATCATTGTAATATTAATCGTTTTTATATTACTTTCATTATACATTATATACGATATGCGAGACCGTAAACAAAATCACATTTATAGAGAAGCTCCACAAGAGCCGCGTGACGTCATTGATAAGGTAGCTAAGATCAACAATACCCTTCTCCACGGGGTATCGTCATACGTGCCAGCCGACGTTATAAAAAATTGCGAGGAACCACTATTTCCATCGGAAGACCCACCACAAACACCTTGCATCCTCACCAGCTTCCCATCATGGCGCCGACCGCTGCAAAAAATGCCGTCTATGTAAGTTGTTTTTCGATTCCTATTATTTCATGAATGGCTACATATATATACATGTTATTATCGTTGCAGGACTCAATTATGGACATCGATGTCCTCCACGTAAACTTCATGCTGATCATACTCGTCGTCTTGTACATCTCTTCACACAAGTACAGGGCACGAGTACCTTCTCCACAAGCAATCGTTACCACGTTGTAATACCACATTGTATCGTGCGTGTAAAGAATCTCATAAGGGGGGTGACCAAAGTGTGCCAATAAAAATATATGAAAAAGAGAAATGATTTCCTTTGTATTTTTAATCGCAGTGATAACGTCTGTGCTTTGTAACGATAAATTAATGACGCATAGACAACGAGAAGAGGAATTCAAAAAAGTGAATCACACGTGTAGTCCAGATACATTGAAGGTCCGCGTTTCTGACGGTTACATAGTTTCCTTCGCACAACAAATTAACGTAGCACAAACGAATAATTCAGAAAACATAAGTATGCTTCTGCG